ATCTTTTTTTCGGATTTGTAGTAGCATTTAATTTTGGATAAAAATCCTTAACTGTGAGTTAATTATATCAATTAAATTAAATTTTCATGGAGTTAATTATATCAATTAAATTTTCCTGGAATTAAACCTGTCAGGCTATCTAACACTCTTCCTACTACGACAAGGTACTGCATGTACAGACGTGTCATTAGTGACACATGTTGCAATATTAATTAATGCATCTACCTGCACACTAGATATTAGACACTCGACCTCACCCATTAACTTATCTAAGACAAGTCTACTCGCAAGTTTGTGGTCTAGAATATAGTCTTCTCTCAAGAATTTAGCGCTTGTACTAACGATCACCTTTTGATCCTTGAGATTATAAAATAAATCACCCTTCGATTCTAAGGAGTAACCCAAAAATAGTTGTACATATGATCGTTTTTTTCCAACTTATCAATATCTTGCACCATAACATGTGCAGGGCTACCCCAAATCCGAAAATGCGAAATACTAGGCTTACTCCCATTCCACAATTAACTCGGAGTAGTGTCAACTGACTTAAATGGAACAACATTCAAATTGTACGCGATAACGAATTAGGTAGATCTAAAAACTCATCATCGACCGAACCATCTCCATAAGAATTATATTCCCTCGTTCTGCTTAATAATTCTTAAATTCTCCCAAGAGGTATTCGTGACCCTGATGTGATCAGAGCGACATGATACTCTTACCATGACGCTTCTCCATAACTGCCCAATATTGCTTGAATTTCTCAATGCATACTGACTTGCGGCACATCAGGTAGCGTACCCATATCTCGAGTAATCATCAATAAACATGACAAAGTACTCGGAACCTCCTCTAGCATGGATCGATATAGGACCATATAAATCGGAATGAATCAGTTTCAACACACTCTCGCACCTACGCCCCTTAGCCGTGAACGGTCACTTAACCATTTTTCCTTCTAGGCAGGACTTGCAGGTCGGGTAGTCATCTAGCTCCAATGGACGAAGTTGTCTAATTGATACCAATCTTTGAATCCTCCTAAGGTTAATGTGTCCAAGCCTAAGGTGCCAGAGGTATGTTTGACTCATTTTCGAAGGTTTGTTTCTCTTATTAGATTCAATTAATGTGCTCTTCAGTTCCGATCGTTGCAGTGTGGGATTAATTTGTTTACGAACATACAAATTACCTACTAATGAACCAACACAAATGAAACGCTTGCCTTTACGAATAATAACCATGTCATCAAACAAAATAGCAAATCCATCCATAAAAAGTTTATAAACAGAAATCAAATTTCTACTAAACTCAGCAACATAAAGGCAATGTCTCAAAACCAAATATCTACTCTTAGCAAAGCATAAAGTAATGTCTCCCACTGCAAAACTTTCGCCTTCGTGGCATTGCCCATGTAGACGATATTATCCCCATCCTTAAGTCTTCAGGTTTCCTGGAACCCTTACAATGAATTGTAGACATGATCAATGGTTCCCCTGTTAGAAATGTCGTAAAAGTTTGGCTTTCAGATATGAACAATACTATTTTGATCTGGCAATTGTGTTTTATTTAAAGTATTTATGTTTGCAGTTTATTTATTTATGCAATCATAACTCCATTATTTTACATTGTAGATAATATGGTTCGTCGTGTCGAACAGAAAGATCATATTGGTTCTTTGTAAACTATAAATTTAATATTCACAATTTAGATAAGTAGTGAGACCCCTGTTGGAAAAAGATTGTAGTGTAGTCTTGATTCAGTTGATCTTTGACTGATGGACTGCACTAGTACTTCTGATAAGTATTGAACGGATTGCGGAAGGATAAGATTATAAGATTTCCTGATCGTTGTTATAATCTAGACCTTCAGTGATTGATGCGTTCTCATAAGCTGTAAGATAATATAAAATGGGCATATGTATTCATTACTTACTTATTTGATTTACCAAAGGTGATTCTTATTCCGTTAGGATGACATACTCGCTATTTTGGTAAGTAAGAGTGTTTATATGATGTGCCGTTATGAATTATTTACAGTCACTATGTCCAATGCGCTTGGTTGATGACGTCCCCGAAATGAGCTCAAGAACGAATATTATGTCAAACCCTGCAGGTGGATAATTATCCGGCGTGATGATTAATGAATTGAGCGGTACTAATATCGGAAATGAATAAGTCAATTTAATTTAATTGTCAGTAATTAAATTAATTTACGGACGTTATATCTTAAACATAAGAAGGTAAATCGGTCAATTAGATTAATATTAATTAATCATTTAAAGATTTGATTTATTGAATAAATTGGAGCTAAATGGGGAGAGCAATAATAATACTCTAGTGGGATGTTTTATTATTTAATTCTAATTAAAATTTTAGGAATTAATTATATTCCATAATTTAGATTCCATTGGGAGAGGAATATTCCTTCTAGAATATTACCTAGAGTTAGGAGACTATGGTGTCTTCTAGAAGGCAATAAAGGTTAGGAGGAATAGGACTTCTATATGGGAACGGATATGGAGCATGATTAAGATTCCTAAGCCCATATTTAGTACCTCCTTAAGGTCCCTAATGGAGCCTATAAATACCCCATGTCCCAACCTCTTCCCCTACTATTGATGTTGGTCGATTTTGAGGTCTTTCCAAGAGAGGAAAATCGAGTTGCATAATATATTCGAGTGTTCGAGAGTTTCGATTAATCGCACCATCAAGATTAGTCGAAGTAGGTGTCTAGGTAATCCATTAGAAGATCATAAAGTAAGATAATTCAAACCTTGAAGATCTCCTTTTTCCAGCCATCCTCCACCACCGACAACTGCCGTCCGCTACCGTCGACTGCCGCTGGAAATCGCCTTCGCCACCCATCGCCGCCGGAAGCCACCCGACCCAGCCGCACGCAGTCGCGAGCATCGGCTCGCAACCGCAAGCAGCCAGACCCCGTGCACGCTCCCTGCGACGATCCCGCGCACGCCGTCTCTGCCTCGCGAGTTCCCAGCGACGCCCTGCCCCGATCGCCCGCCGTCGCCCAAGATCCTCGCGTCCGATCGCCTGTGCGTGTTCCCAGTGCACGCACGTAGCCTCTGCCCGAGAACCGCATGTCTGTCTGCTTTGCCGAGCAGACCATCATATGTGATGGTCCATTAGTAGACAATCTGTATATCCTAAAACAAAGTTTAGTCCACTGCAACATAAACAATTACTTAATTCATCATCTAACCTGAATAAGAAGAAGGAACCTTCGAAAATGAATGAAACTTATCTTTGGCATCTAAAACTTAGTCATATAAACCTTAGAAGGATTCAAAGGTTGGTGGCAAATGGGGCCTTGGGGTCGTTGGAAGTCAATGCCTTTCCAACTTGTGAGTCCTGCCTGGAAGGCAAAATAGCTAAGAGGGTTTTTAAGGCAAAGGGGAATAGAGCTGAAGATTAGTTAGGGCTAGTTCATTTCGATTTGTGTGGTCCTATGTCTGTTCAAGCGAGAGGTGGTTTCGAGTAATTCGTTACGTTTATCGACGATTACTCGAGATATAGAAACATTTATCTACTGCACCACAAGTCTGAATGCTTCGAGAAGTTCTTGGAGTATAAGACAGTTGTGAAGAAGCAGTTAGGAAAAAGTATCAAGTCGTTACGATCTGATTGTGGTGGCGAATATCT